ATATACAAAGAATTGGTCATTAAAGAAGAACTTCATCACAAATGTGTACAGCAGAGAATAAACACATTTCTACAACATGCTAAATTGCTAGATTTGTTAGGGTTAGGCTAAATAAGCAGGCCAAAGAATGCCAAAGAATGTTCAAACTACCACATCATTGCACTCATTTCACATGCTAGCAAAGTTATGCTCAAAATCCTACAAGCTAGGCTCCAGCAGTATGTGGACCGAGAACTACCAGAAATACAGGCAGGATTTCAAAGAGGCAGAGGAACTAGAGATCAAATTGCCGACATACGCTGGATCATGGAAAAAGCTAGGGAGTTCCAGAAAAACTTCTACTTCTGTTTCATTGACTATGCTAAAGCCTTTGATTGTGTGGATCACAACAAATTGTGGCAAGTTCTTAGAGAGATGGGAGTACCGGATCATCTTATTTGCCTTTTTTTTTTAATACCAGACCATCTTTATTTGTCTTTTTTTATATGCGGATCAAGAAGCAACAGTGAGAACTGGACACTGTGGACCACTGATTGGTTTAAAAATTGAGAAAGGAGTTCGGGAAGGCTGTATACTGTCGTCCTGCCTATTTGAATTATATGCAGAGCACATCATGAGAAAGGTGGGGCTAGATGAATCACAAGTTGGAATTAAGATTGCCAGGAGAAATATCAACAACCTCAAATATGCACATGATGCCACTCTAATGGCAGAAAGTGAAGAGGAACTAAAGAGCCTCTTGATGCGGATGAACTGCAAGGCGATCAAACCAGTCAGTCCCATAGGAGATCAACCCTGACTGCTCTTTAGAAGGACAGATCCTGAAGATGAAACTCAAATACTTTGGTCACCTAATGAGAAGGAAGGGCTCACTGGAGAAGAGCCAAATGCTAGGAATTATTGAGGGCAAAAGAAGAACGGGACGACAGAGAATGAGGTGGCTGGATGGAGTCACTGAAGCAGTTGGCATGAGCTTAAATGGACTCTGGGAGATGGTAGAGGACAGGAAGGCCTGGAGGAACGTTGTCCATGGGGTCACAATGGGTCGGGCACAACTTTGCGACTAACAACAAACAGGCTGGTTTTCTGCAGTTAAAAAAAGAATCAACTTTAGTATGGTGTGCAAACTCAAACAATTGTGGTTTAGTTATTGTTTAACATAACATGGTTTAGTATGGTGTTGATATCAAGTTACTGGGGCTTTTTGACTAACCAGCATCCAGTTTCAACCTCTGCAGGAGTTGCCTGCAATTTAATTTCTCCAACAGCTCTGGATAAAGCACGGTTTCTGTTTTGCCCTGTGACCCTATCCAGTTTGTCTTCCAAGCCTTCAATGCACATGCGTAGATGCTAAATATTAGTGCGCTGTGATAGTTTCCTTTCTTGTCCTCAATCTCAGCCTAGAAGCCAGTCTTCCCCATCCTGACATTCTCCAGATGTGCTGGATTGTAGCTACTATCAACCCGGCCGTTGGCTACGCTGGTTGGAAGTAGTGTGCCTTGTAATCAAAGACAGCGGGAGGATGGCAGGTTTGAGGAAACCTGCCATAACTACTTATCAAGAGAGCAAATGTGGCTGAGTCATTGCTGTGCTGTAAGTAACTAGATCTGGATTAGATTATTTTTTTAAAAAAAGATTCTCAGCAATTGTTGCTCTATAAATGTTAGCCTCAGTTGACTAATACTCTTTCCAGGACAGGCTAAGTAAAAAATGTCTTCCCTGTCTGAAGGAGGAGACTTTCTGGCAACATGTAGTATAAATCTAGTTTGATGAAAAGTAGGACTAGGGGTGACATTCTCCAAAGCACCTGAGGGCAGGACAAGAAGCAATGGGTGGAAACTAATCCAGGAGAGAAGCAACTTAGAACTAAGGAGAAATTTCCTTACAGTTAGAACAATTAATCAGTGGAACAACATGCCTCCAGGAGTTGTGAATGCTCCAACCCTGGAAGTTTTTAAGAGGAGATTGGATAATCATTTGTCTGAAGTGGTGCAGGGTTTCCTGCCTAAGCAGGGGGGTTGGTCTAGAAGATCTCCAAGGTCCCTTCCAAATCTGCTATTCTATTCCTATTCTATTCCTATTCTATTCTATTCTATTCTATTCTATTCTATTCTATTCTATTCTATTCTATTCAGTGGTGGTGGCAAATATGGAGCACTCTTTCATGTGAGAAAGGGCCTACCCTTTTTGTCCCTGTGGGGTGTCAGAACAATTTCTCTGTGTAAGTGTCAATGGAGATTCTCAGTCACCCAGATCATGGTGGTCCCAAAGGTGCTTTTTCAAAAGACAACTGGACTTTGTTGTTCCTTAAAGAAGTTTCACTTCTCATTAAAAAAAACTTCTTTTTATCCATCTACCACCATTTAGTCAGAACTGAAGAAGCTCCTTGTATGAGAAGTGAAACATCTTCAATGAAAAACAAAATCCAGTTGCCTTTTGAAAAAGCACCTTTGGGATTCTCTGCATAAGCTTTCTGTGCCCTGCTAGCAGGGGTGGGATACTACCGGTTCTGCCTGGCTCTATAGAACGGGTAGCTCTGAAGAGCAACAGACACCAAACCGGTTCGGTGTCTGCTGCTGTTTGGCCCACCGACCCGCCTGGGCTCTTACCTGTCCTTTATTTCCTGCTTTTTCAACCTCAGCTGCTTTGCATGGCACAGCTGAGGTTGAAAAAGCAGGAAAAAATCATATGCTGTGCACCTGCGTGCAGTGCTTTTCAGCTGTCTGGGTGGCACAGCTTAAGGTTTTTTACATCCGCGCAAAACATAGTCAACAAGCCGGTAGTATCACCGGTTGAATCCCACCCCTGCCTGGTAGCCCTGTCTTATCACTGACACCACGATGTTATTCTTTGGCTACATTCAGATGTGTTTCCAACCCCAAATAACATCTTCCTCTAGTCTGTTTTAGCGGTTCCAGAAATTGGCTTTTCTCATTTATAGAATGTGAAGTGTAAGTGGTTCTGCAAGTTACATTTATAATTTGATGAATGCCTTTGGTTTTATGCTTAGACAAATGCATTTTGCATATGCTTGGAATCATATATTTACTTCATATTTGCTGGAGCTGGACTGAGCACCAGAAAAATATTCTGAGCTGAATTTGTATAATGCTGAGTCGAATGAAAACCCTGTGTTTAGTCAATCCAGTTCCTATCAATAATTACATTTTCTGCCGACTATTCCTTTTATTTTTTCCCTTCCCCATAAAAATCTGCCTCCATATGTTTGTGTGAAGGCTACTGAAACCGGGCTGGAAACATCTGAAATAGATGGAGTGGCAAAAAGAATTAAAGCATCCGTTTGTTACATCTAGTGGTCATCTGAATATTTGCAGCCTGGCTGTGGTAGTTCTAATGCGTGCCTGCACATCTAAACACACACTAATTGTTCTTTGGCCATAAAAGCTGCTTCTGCCATTGCGGCATTCTCTTGGCTGAAAGAGGTCAGCCCATTGTTTGAATCCCAAGGCAAAATATGCTGCATTTAAACACAAACACAAGTGTTTATTTAAGGGGAAAGAAGCCATAATGGCACAGTGTCATCAAGAGACAGGAGGGGCTGGAGAACATGTGGTAACAAGAGTGTTAGGCTCTGCCATGCAATGTGCACAGGTGGCTAGAAGAAATTAAAGTTTGATGGGAAGGAACAATCAATGAAATAGCTTGCTTTCAGATGTTGTGGATGCTCCATCACTGGAGGCTTTCAAAGAGAGACTGGAAAACCATTTGTTTGATAGGGCCTCCTGCTTGAGCAGGGAATTGGACTAGAGCAGGGGTCTCCAATTTTGGCAACTTTAAGACTTGTGGACTTCAACTCCCAGAATTCTGGGAGTTGAATTCTCCCAGAATTCTGGGAGTTGAAGTCCACAAGTCTTAAAGTTGCCAAAATTGGAGACCCCTGGATTTAGAAGACTTCCGAGGTCCCTTCCAACTCTATTATTCTATGTTCTAACTAATGCTAGTCCTTGGAGTTGAATACCAAGACAAGTGCTGGATTCATGTATGCGTATATTTACCTTTGGAGGTATGTTTAAATAATCATACATTTACAAGTCTTGAAATTCAAACTGCATTTATGCCATCCTGCATTTCTGCCATTATGCAGGTGACTTTGGTAACAGTTTTATATTAGTTTTGAATGAAGGATGAGATTACGTGCATAAATATGCGTGCACGTGTTTATAAAATCAATTATTTGTCTTAATCCTATTGAACTTATGAGCTATGTTTGCACAAGAGTTTAAGTTAATAATCTAGTGGCATTTATAAGACTTAATAAACTTGCTTCGTTTTCATTTTGGTTGCAGTATTTTATTTACTTGTCAAATGTATATAGCTGCTCATTTCGCATACAGGTGACTCGGGGCAGCATACAACAAAATCAGATTATTATTGTTTTGTTGTGTTCTGTTTAGTGGTTTAGCCTATTGAGTGAATCAGACCCATTTGATTCATTTAACTTATGAGGCTGGGTGTAGCCAGGAAAGAGTAAATAGCACATCACAACACATGTAAGACAGAGCAGACTTCGACTGAAGGTTGTGAGCCACCATGAATCTGCAATTTGGCAGTTCAACTCTCACCAGGCTCAAGGTTGAGTCAGCCTTCCATCCTTCCAAGGTGAGTAAAATGAGGACCCAGATTGTTGGGGTCAAGATGCTGACTATGTAAACCGCTTAGAGAGGGCTGTAAAGCACTATGAAGCGGTATATAAGTGCTATTACTACTGCTATCTTGACTTCTGGTCCTTTGATCACTTGGTTGTAATCACTGCCTTGGCTTTTTTGCCTCCTCCCTGTCAACATCCATGAACAAGGAAGAGGCGGGGGCGAAAAAACAACAGACAGGAAAGGGGGAGGGAGGCTGGCTTTATCCCAAAACTGCTTAATCTTTTGGTTGGCCACTGAGATGAAGTTAATGAACATGACTAGACTGGGTTCCATCCATGCTTTCCATGCAATCCAAAAACCACTTTCCTCTCTCTCTTATTTTATTGATAGGGGTTCCAGGTGCTGGAGCAGGAATTCCAGGAGCAGGGTTCTACCCAGGTAAGAATTAGCACCATCCCAACTAAGTGTTAGAGATGCCATAATTGTGCAACATTGGTGATGCCTTGTGTGTGCCTGCTCACGATACCAATTTCAATCAAACTCAAACATTGAGCTTGAAAAGAAGCAGCCAGGAGAAGACCCTTATTAATTCATTTGCTTATTTATTTTGCATAATGACATTATTTGGGGAAGGTGAGAATGGAATATTGAGAGTTTTCTTCTTCTCTGTGAATGGGGAAAACATTAATTTACATGAGTACCTTATACCTATAACAGGAGTAACACAACTATTTTTCTTAGTTTTATACTACAAGAAACAGGATGGGAACTTTAGAATAGTATATTTCTACATGTTGCAGCAGATGCCAGAACAAATAATAATATCTCAGGCATTTTCCGATATTATGAAAAAATATATCACATAGTTCAGTGTGGGGACTGGTGTTTCAGAGTGTGCTGTTTGTCCTCTTGATCAGTGAAAGCTTTGACAGCTTTCTGATGTGTAGACTTCAGCTCCCAGATTTCTTGAGCCAGCATCACTGGCTAGGCAATTCTGGGAGTTGAAGTCCATATGTGTAATATTTCAAGGATGCCTTTTTCCATATCTACCTTAGAATATAGGGGATATCCCCTAGATAGATCTTCACTTTGCACCAAATATGCATTTATAAAATAGGTTCATAACAATGTTGGTATTTCATATAGGGTCAAGGTAGGGAATCTGGCTGAGGAATTCTTGGAGTGTTGAAGTCCACAAGTCTTAAGTTGCCAAGTTTGGGGACCCCTCCAGACAGATTCTGCCTTCATATTTCTTCACTTAGGAGAGTTTGAAAAGATCATTGGGGAAAATTTAAAAAAATGTAAATCACTCTGTGATCTTATCTTGCTTTCATTGGCAATTTGTTGCCCTTATCATTTTATTCAAAAACCATCTGCAAGCTCATTTCCTTCCTTGCCTTAGTTATTACCCTATTGTGCTATTTCTTTTCTTCACAAAATTAGGGATGTCATTAGTGGCTAAATGAATCTTTGTATGCCCATTTGTTTAAAAAAAAACATTTTTCAGAATGCTTTGTCAAATTCCTTTAAAGTGCATAATACAGATATGAACATACTTGGCTCAGAACTCCTAGGTACTTGAAGAGGGGGGACAACTAATATAATATCATGGTTGGGGCTAGTGTTTTATACGCTTTATTGAAATGACTAAGAATTGTTTAAAATCCTTGCTTTCTGCGGGAACAGCTGGCAACAGAGGACTTGGCAGCATAGGTAAGCCCCTAATGGACTAGAACAAGATTCCTTGTTGATTTGCTTACAAAGTAATAATTATTTTGAAAAATAATACATACAGTGGAGCAAATGAGCATCTCTTCTTCCTCCCTGATAATCAGTGGTGGCATTCAAAAAATTTACTACCGGTTCTGTGGGCGTGGCTTGGTGTGTGTGGCAGGGGAAGGATCCTGTCAAATCTCCATTCCCACCCCACCCCACTAACCTGCTTTCCAGCTCTGTTCTCCTGTGCAGGGCAACAAAAGAAGACCCAGCCAATCAGCTGGGACTCGGGAGGCAGAGAATAGATGGGGACGGGGCCAGCCAGAGGTGGTATTTGCCGGTTCTCCAAACTACTCAAATTTTCCGCTACCAGTTCTCCAGAACTGGTCAGAACCTGCTGAATACCACCTGTAAGTGAAATTGCTAGATTCCTTTGTGTACAGTGCTGTAAGCACAAGGCAGGTGAGAGAGAAGGCAAATCAGGGCAGAAAAGTGGTTTTGGCTTTTTTTTTTTTCATTGTGAACTTGGCAGTCACAAAGAGAGTTGCAGACATTTTTTAAGTTGGCTTTTGAAGAAATGGGGGATGGAAATAAAATATTATAGAAATACTCCCAGGCAAGGTTTCCCAGCCTAATCTGTTTTCCAGAGCTGCAGGTGGTCTCTAGAATAGACAAACATTTTTTTTTTTAAAGGAATTGTATCCATGTGTTGCATGTGCACGCACATGTTTATATGCCGGAGAAAAAAGTTTGTCACTGGGGTAACTGCTGCTATCCCAGGATTTCTTCTGCTGCACTGCTGAGATAAGGCCAGCAGAGATATTTTTCTCACACAAGGGCTATCCTTATTAGACTGTGGCTTTCCAAAGGGGTGTACATCCTGAGGAACCTGCCATAAAGGCCTTCATGAAGGGGCATGAGAGCATTGCCTGCTCAGCTTTATACAAACAGAAGACCACACTTGCAATCATGCATCCTTTTCTTTCTTCTAAACTGACATTACAAAGTGAACATCTGCCTAATTCACCCACAAGTGTCACATTTCTGGGTACACAATTTATCTGGAAAAAATTGCTTCTTTTTTGATGTTCTTCCACAGGAGCTGGCATTGGAGGTGGACTTGGAGGAGCAGGTGAGTCGTTGTCTCAACTAACTAGACTTCACTTCAACCTCACAGGTTGCTCAACCTGCATCTAGCCAACTGTAGTTGAACCCAAATAGCTAAGCAGAAATCAACAGGGCTCTGGCTTAGATCAGGAAGTTGAAAACTCATTCTAAAAAAAGGCAAAAGCAAATTAATTCCATATTGTTGCAAGAAAAGACACAGATATGAATTCAACAGGAGTCAAATCCACTATGAAAGAAATTTTTACCTATCTGCACCTGCCTTATTATTATCTTTATTGTCAGAGTACAGCATGTGTACAATGAGATTGGCTGAGACTCACTTCATGCAACTTCCCCCCGCCAAACAAAACTCACAGTGAGGACAGAAGTCCCTAACCCAGTCCCAATCTTATTACACTATGTGACCTTGTTGCAAAGTGCGTCAGCCCTGCAAGTCTATCATACTATGTTGACATGAAGTTATTTTCCGTTCAGAAGTCTGACAGCCCACGGGTAGAAACTGTTCTTCAGCCTGTTGGTGCGGCTGGCTGTGCTTCTATATCTCCTACCCGATGGTAGGAGAGTGAAGAAGTGCTGACCAGGATGTGAGTCGTCCCTGAGAATTTTCCTCACTCTTCTGTGGCAGCGAGCCCTAGCGATGTCATCTCGTGGTATCAGGGAACATCCCACGATGTTTTGTGCTGTGCTCACCACCCTCTGTAATGTGTTTCTATCCGTGGCTGTCAAGCCAGCATACCACACCGTAGTGCAATATGTGAGGACGCTTTCTATTGTGGACCGGTAAAAGGGGGTCATCAGTTGTTGTTCCACTTTATTCTTTCGTAAGACCCTAAGGAAATGGAGTCTCTGTTGGGCCTTTCTGGCCACCTGGGTTGTGTTGGTTTTCCAGGTAAGATCTTCACTGAGGTAGACTCCCAAGAATTTAAAGGAGGAAACTCTCTCCACACACACAATCTGTAAGTGTATTGTGATTACAACTTCCAGAATTCCCAGCTTCTGGGAATTCCAGTAGGGGTCTTCTCCTATCAGAAGAACAATATTATATTGATATAACACAAACAGCATATAATATACTGCATACAGTATATTCTGTATATGTACATATGCATTATATTGTATTATATTACCTATACCTGTGATGGCAAACCTATGGCACGTGTGCCACAAGTGGTACGCAGAGCTATTTGTGCTGGCATGCAAGCCTCAGGCAAACTTACCTCGCTGCGCATGCGCACGCCTCACAGCTGATTTTTTTTTTGGTTGGTTTGAGGCCTTTTTCTCCCAAAGGCTTGGAAAAAGCCTCTGCAGGGCTTTTCAGGTCGAATTATAGGCCCATTTTGTCACTTCCTGTAAAACCAGCCAACTCAACTGGGGTTTCCCAGTTAACAATTGACACACACAACTGTTCCCATCAAAAAGGAATGGTGCATTTCTTTTTTATAGGTGGCCTATATCCAGGAGGTGCCTATCCTGCTGGATCTGCTGCTGCAGCCTATAAAGCCGCCGCTAAAGCTGGTGAGTCGAAGTTGCTGTTCCCCGTTGACTTTATGTTCAGTATTCTGATTCCATTTCATCTTGCCATAGACCAGACTTGGACAAAAATCATGGATGAAGTCATGATTTTCAATTCCTCTTTGCCTTTATTGGCTTTTTTGGTATTTGATGCCAAGTCCTATATCATTCTCTTGTTTGTTAGATAGATAGATAGATATTAGATAAATAGATTGATAGATAGATGGATGGATGGATGGGTGGGTGGATGGATGGATGGATGGATATAGATATGTGTAGATGTATGTGTGTGTGTGTGTGTATGTTGTATATATGTGTTTGTGTGTGTGTGTATAATAAATTTTTCTTTAGTAGACATAAAAACTCTATCTATATGAACAGCATGTTGTCTGAGTAGTTTTTAGAACAAAAAAAGATAATAATAATAATAATAATAATAATAATAATAATATACAGTATATATCATTAATAACAATCACATAGTAATAGTAATATTAACATATCCATAACAATAAACCTTCCTTATGTAATTAATCATTTTCTTAATCTCTTTAGTTTCTAACCTCTGTTTTTGTTATTTAGCCATTGGTAAAACAAGTCCCATGTTAAAAAGTATTCTGTTTCTTCCTTTTCCTTTATTTTGAGTGTTAATCTGTCTATCTCTGCGCATTCTAATATTTTTTATAACACTTTCATCTGCAGGGATCTCTTCATTTTCTCACTGTTGTGCAAAAAAAAATTCTTGCTGCTGTTAACATGTGTAAAATTACATCTATATTCCCTTTATTATATTCCCTTTATGTTCACTTTATTATATTGTTCTGGTAAAATACCCAACAAAAATATTTCTGGTTTTAAATCAATATATTGTTTTATCATTTTTTTCTAACCATGTATGTGTCATTCTCTTGTTCTTATAAGGTCATCTCTTTACCTGCCTTTTCCCCATCTTGGCATATAGATGGTAACTAACTCTTAGTGATTCCTGATATAATTAATCCTTAATTTATGAACAGTCGCTTAGCAACTGGTTAAAGTTGCAACAGACCCCCCCACCCCTACCCCCGAAGGTATTTACAACTTGGTTCCAAACTTCCCCCTTGTGATCACATAAACACATTTTGGGTGCTTGGCAACTGGCCTGCGCTTATAGCCACTTGCCAAATCTTGCGGTCATATGACCAGGATTATGACAATTTTGCGAAAAACCAGACTTTATTTGCAGTTTTCAGCCAAAATGCTCCTTGGGGACCAACGAGTTTGCTTAACATTCATGGCATTTACTTAGCAACTGCCTCAAAAATGGTTGTAAAATTGGCTCCGTTCATATGATGACCCACTTTATGAATGTCATGAACTGTATTGGGCAGGCTCCATTGTAGTCATAAGTCAAGGACTACCTGTACAGAAGTCATTGCACTGTGTTTCCTGTCCTTAGAGGAGCCATCTTATGATTACTCCCTATGAATGGTACTGTCCCCCTTCTCCTCTTCCCCCACCTCCTCCCTCTCCCTCTTCCTCCTGCCTCTTCCTCTGCTTCTGCTTCTTCAGATGATCATTTGTAATTTAAAAAAAAACCTAATCCAAAACAAGAAAAAAAGAAAAAATAGAAGATGCAGTAAAGGAAAAACTTGAAAGAAAAATAGAAAGGAAGGAAAAATTAGAATATAATTAAAAGAAAAAATATATAAAGACGAGACTTCCCCCTTCATTATAACATGTATAAACAATTATAATAACTTATCACCTTCTCTTAAAATACAAGAAATGATCTTTTCTTCCCATATCCCACCTCATTATTTCATTTCTGATGTTAGCAAAATTCCATTAAAGGTTAACAGAGATACAGCATTTTAGCCTTGATGAAATAAACCAATTTTATATTCCTCCCTTTTACTTCTAACAATCTTTATTATTTAATTCCTTCAAATAATGCCCTAGAACTTGATTTTTCATTTTCCTTTATCCCTTCTCACAAAACTCTTCTTTGTTTTTGTGTGAGCAGGCAATCGTGAAAAGAGTACTCCTGTGGGAGCAGCAAATTCTATTTTCTGTCATCCTAAATAAAAATTTTATCTTATTTATATTTTATTTATTTATATTTCCTATTTCTAAACCATATCACTCGTCTTAGATATAAGACATCTAGGTATAAGGGAATCATTAACCTCATCCCAACACCAACCTAGTCCTCAAACCTCAATAAGTATGTGTTTTATCATCTTCAGGACTTGGTGTACCTGGTGGTGGCATAGGTGGATTACCTGGAGCTGGCTTTGGTGGACTACCTGGAGGTGGAGTAGGCGGACTACCTGGAGGCGGCATAGGTGGACTACCTGGAGGTGGTGTGGGCGGACTACCTGGAGGCGGCATAGGTGGACTACCTGGAGGTGGTGTGGGCGGACTACCTGGAGGCGGCATAGGTGGACTACCTGGAGGTGGTGTGGGCGGATTACCTGGTAGGTCTATTAATATCGAGTAATTATATTATCAGTGTTAGGGATATACACCCTAGCAGAACGTGCAACGGTAGTCAATCAGGCAGGCAGATATGTGAGATAAACGTTGTTGTAGTTTACACTCAGTAAAACAGATACACAGTGCTAGTTAAATAGTTTATTCCAGTAAGATTGTTAGCATAGTCAAACAGTCCATATATCATACACTAAGTTCAGTCCGTCCGGGGATTATTCATTAGCAAAGTCCAGTGTCGAAAAAGAGGTCAGTAAACTTACGAATAATCAGTCCAGTAATATATCTCTTTTTGCAGTAGAAATATGAAGAAAATCAAACCTCTTTTCTTCGTTCAGCAATAGCAGGGAAAACACGCAGTTATCACCATCAATCCATCATTGTCAGCAATCCAGTAAAAGCCAGCAAACAGTGAGCTCTCTTGCTCCCTCTTATGGTGATTTTACAATCGCACCCAAAATACATGGTCTGCATTTAAAGTGATACACACAATCATAGTCTATATATATTATTTTACCCAAACTAAGTTAGGTAACCATGTTATCCCTAACAATCAGCCTTTCTGCACCCAAAAATTCTTAGCTCTGAATAAGAACGGTTGTTCAATAAGTCCAATGTCAACTTCTTCCAATCACATGATTCAAACTAGGAGAAAGTTGGAGGGACAGTCTCTTGACCTTGCTTATCAAGTTACAGAAGCAGTTTATGGTGTGGTAGAAACAATGAAACAAAACTTCTCCATTATAGCTTCATTCTCCCACGTACGGTACTTGTCTTGGTCATGGACAAGGACAGCAACTGGAATTGGGTGCATGATGATACCATTGTGGAAATACTGTAATATAAAATATCTACTTGCATTATTTTGGGTCATTGTGCAATCATGGCATTGTGGTGCTTTGCACCCGATGCCTTTGTAAACTTGGTGGCTGAATTTTTCATTTTTTTGTTTTGTGGGGAAAATGGCCATTTAAATAAAGAACCTTTCCACAATAGAACAATATATTAAGTTATATTCTTGGTTCTTGACAAATGTGTCTTTTCTTTTATGTACACTGAAAGCATTTGCACCAAGACAAATTCCTTGTGTGTCCAATCACACTTGACCAATAAAGAATTCTATTCTATAAACTAACCAAAAGGGCTGGGTTCACAAAACACACTGAATCACCAAAGAACTTATGAAAATAGACACTATCTAAGCTGCCATTAGAGCTCAAAGTGACTTTTTAAAGCATGTTATTTGAAGCTAGCTTTTATGTGTAAATAATCATGATACCCTAGAAAAGCCACCTATCTCCAATTACTTTTTTTAAAAGAAGTATTGTAATTGGAGATGGGTGGCTTTTCCATGGTATCAATTGGATTGATGTTAAGTGCCAACTCCTCTGAAATTTCTCGTCTGCCAGTGGGGTAAATAGACAGAAGGCATATGGCAAGCATCACTAACTTGATGGTGTTAAGGTGCCATTTTTAGAGAGCTTTTATTTAAAAAATCATTTCAGAAAACTAATAATCAGTGATTACAGATGAGGCCATGATGATGGCAATCTTCTTATCATGTTCCTGAATTCTTCCCGTGCATCTCAGTCTACCAACCTTTTATTTGCTCAGTTGGGAAGAGAATGGCTGTGGTTTTATAACATGTTTTGTTTTGAATTCACAGAACACTCAGAATCGTAAACAAGCTAAATTCACACAACCAAGGTTAATGCTCATTCAACAAATGCAAACCTGATAGTCACAAGGATTGTAGGTTTCATCTCTTGTTCCTCCTGGCAGATGACCAAACACAAAGTTGTTTAATACAGGGGTCTCCAACCTTGGCAAAGTTAAGCTTGGCGGACTTCAACTCCCAGAATTCCCCAGCCAGCTTTGCTTTAAGTCCACCAGGCTTAACGTTGCCAAGGTTGGAGACCCCTGGTTTAATAAGTTTATGCAAACTGAACTAATTTTTTTTTATGTAAACTCATCTTAAGAGTTTAATAATAAAAGAACAATAGCACTGGGGGTCGTTCAACGTTGGAATTGGTTGGTGGCTTAACCGAGAAGCGTATTAATTTTGCCCTTTTTGCTTCTTGCCTCTGTATTTAGTGTTGTATTTGATGTTTTTAATATTTATGATTTTAACTGTAAGCCACCCAGAGTCACTTTTCAGAATGACATGGGCAGTATATACATTTAATAAAGAAATAAAATTGCTTATTAAATACCCATTGGAATCATGGCCTGTTAAATTCTGCTCCATAGCCCGTCATGTTTTAATTTGTTTGGGCCAAAATAAATTAATACTTTCTAAGTAACCCTTGAAATACTTTTCCTGATTTTGACTTGCAAAAACTCTCACAAAGACTGCACGATCCAACAGAAAGCACCTTTGCACTACTACTTAACAATATTTATTGAATCTGGGGTGGTTTTGGGGGGGAACCACAGCAAAAAGATTGACAAATATTTATGCTGGACTGAGCTTTTGCACTATGTCAACTGGTCTCTTTTGCACCCACAGGTGCTGGTACTGGAGCCAAGCCTGGGAAAATCCCTGGTAGGTCAGCAGTTGCTCCAAGAAACTTCAGCTCAAATAAGGATGAGTGCTCTGAATGTTAATAACACGTTAATTAGCTGGGAGAATAAGTGGGCTATGAAAACTGAAGGCATAATGTGGGGTTCATCTTTTGCTCTCTGACTTATAGGATTAGGTGGCTAATCACAGTGGGCTCTAGATGAACAATGTTTTGTCTTTCGTTTAAAACATTACTTCCACTCCAGTCTTTTCAAACAGATAGAAGAACCTAACATCATCATAAAAATAGCAGAATATGGCTAGTGCTTTGGTGTAAAACAACAATACATTTTGTTTAGGGATAATATTTTGACTTACCCATTTTTTCGACATGGGGGGTGTTATTGGTAGCTAATAAGCAGCCTTTTCTTCATCAAAAATAGTAAAAACAGGCCAAAAGGACACAATTCTAAACAGAACAGCAATCAACAATCTTCAGTGGATCAAAAACAACCTCCTTGAATAGTATGAACTGACTTGTATTTGGTCAAAAGGTGGTCTCACGCAGTTTTGTGGGCCTTATTCCTAACTCTGACTTCCTACTACATATTTAACTTGTCCAGTGAATTAATTCATTTTCTAGGTTTGCAACCACAAACTGGTTAAACAGATTGGGCTACATATCAAGGCACAGTAAAATTACTTGGCCATTAACTGACTTGATTAAGAGTATTGCACAATTTAAGCTTCTGCCCAATCCAAGCAACTCTTGAGTGGCTTGAATTTTAGGGCCTCTGGCTCTGGTGGTTTTCCATGTTTACTTCTGCATGGGATTGCACTTCTCCAAACAGAACTGGAATGCAATCTGGAGTTCTCCTGGATCTCCTTCTTGAAGAGCAGATAACAACTTTGGCGAGAAGAGGTTTCTTACAACTTTATTTGTGTGTCAGTTGCAGCTTTCCTGGGCCAGGAGGCACTGCTCACAATCACTTTCACTGTTATCTCCCAGGTGAATTATCACAATGCAGATGTTTCAGAATGCAGCAATGTGAATTGTTAGGAGCACATTTCGGTATATTCATGCTATGCCTCTACTCCCAACCTATAGTGACTCTCAGTGTATTTTTGGATGAATTCAAGGCACTGATTGTTGACAACAGACCCCTTCAAACTTTATTTGACGTGAACTTTATTTGCAGTTCCATGTCATGAGACAGGTCTTTGCAGGACTACCTTCCCCCACTGTTTCTACCCATCCCATTTGATCCAAGAGGAATCAATTTGGGTCCCCGCAATTAAAGAATGTCATCTAATGGGATCTATTCTATTGCAATGCTGGCCTTTGGGAAAGTGCAGAAAACCTGGTGGAGGGCGGTGCTCCAGGATAATGGGGGTCAGGCAGGTAGATGGCCTGTGAGATGTCATTGGGTATAATTGAGTTTGTTCTTCGTAATCATTAGAGCTTTTTACTTTTTTTGCTGTTATTGTTCATCTATACAAGTTGATTGAATGCATAAATGCATAAATAAATTTAACATCAGCCTTGGTTGATTTGATGCTCTCTAGATGTGTTCACATTTTGCAGAATTCCGAAGTAAAATAAACACTGAGAATTCTGGAACTTGAAGTCCCTGCACAAACATTGATTGGCATAAATGGTCTTGCCTTGCTGTCTTAGTGAGAAATAGAGGGACTAACTGATGGATAATTTAAAGAGAAAATGCCTATTGAGACTAAAATTCTTTTGGACTTGCTTGGAAGCTTTTTAATTCTGCACAACAGGTAAACAAAAATAAAAGCGTTCAAGAAAGGAGGCTAAAATAAATTCAGCAGGTGTTTTCAACTTAATAGAAACAAGTTGACCTAGAGACTTTGAATCTCACCTAGTTAAAATTCTTGCCCAGAGCTTTTGAACTCACAAAGCCTCTTAGCATTACAGAAGATGTTTGCTAAGGTCGTCTTCTGGGATGTTATTTCAGCTTCCCAAGACAACATCCCAAATTAGCAGGTGGTTCTTGGTCCAAGTAAAGTATTAGGCTGATTTTGCTTAGCTTCTAAGATCAGTTTTGTGCTGCCATCTGCTGAGACAATTAAATTGGCTTCCAGAACGAGTGAGAGAATTCTTCTACCTAAGGCATTTGAACTAAATATATTGCCCCAGTTGGAGAAAGTCATGGAAGGAAGAATGGCAGCATCTCTGCTCTATGTTTGACAGGTGTTGGAATTCCAGGAGTCTTCCCTGGAGGCGTACTTCCCGGCACAGGTGAGTTTGGCCTTCATACAGGCGCATCCCTCCCTCCTTTCAGCAACATGGTGTTGAATGCTTAGGTGTTAATTTAGCACATTTCAACAAACCAAAAAATAATAATGGGGTGCTTGTAATTTTACATTGGGGCTCAAATTTCCTGACAGTTAGAACAGTTAATCAATGGAATGACTTGCCTCCAGAAGTTTGAATGCTCCAACACTGGAGGCTCTTAAGAAGGGATTGGACAGCCATTTGTCTGAAGTGGTATAGGGTTTCCTGCTTGAGCGGGGGTATGGGCTAGAAGACCTCCAAGGTCCCTTCCAACTCTGTTATTTTGTTAAACTAAAATCTTAAAGCTGCTGTTTCTATATATGTCAGGAATCCGTTATCCAGGTGTAGGAGTCTTGCCAGGAGTGCCATCTGGAACAGGTGTCAAACAGAAAGTCCCAGGTAAGTGGCATCTCCAAATCCTATTGTTTATAGCAAGGTTTGGTTGGGAACTTATAATTCACTGATTCTCAAACATTTGGGTCTCAGGGCCCCTTTATGGTCTTAAAATTGATTGAAGACTCCAAAGAGCTTTGGTTTATGTGGATTGTATCTCTTGATGTTTACCGTAGTAGAAAATAAAATGGAAGAGTTGTAAAATATTTATTCAATTGACATGACACTGCGTTCCCTAGACTACACTTTAAGAAGTGCTGTTCTAATTCACACTGTGATCTACCTACCTCTGTCTCTGTGTGTGCATGGATGTGTGTGCCTCAATGTATGTGCATGTGCACAGATTTTATTTATTTTATTTTATTTTGTCAAGTGATTATAAGATAACAGGTATAAGTATAAACATAGTTATGCACATGTGGGAGTGCAAAATAATACCTGCAAACATCTTCACTCTCAGTATTGGTATATGAAAAGAACTTGAAGCTCAGGGTAGCTTATTAACCCAAAACAATCCCATTACAGGTGATCCTTTATCACTCAGATAGGTTCTGAAATATCCTGTGCTCTAGCTACAGTACTGGGGATTTTTTTTTCCTTTTCTCTTGGCATATTCATACTGCTATGTCCATATCAGAAGCCATTTCTAACAAACTTTCCCCTTCTCCTCTTTCAGGAGCTGGAGCTGGAGCCTTTGCTGGAATCCCTGGTAGGTTGGATGCTTAAAAAAAGAAAGAAAAAAATGAGTTTGGTGCATGCACCATATATATCACCTTCCAGGATAGGTGAGGAAGAGACTGATCTATTCCAGTTACTGGCTACAAAGTGCAGTAGGAAAATCTATTAGGTCATTGTTAGTTTGTGACCTTTCTGTTCTCAGCCCTCTTCTTGATGTTACAGGACTTGGAGGAATTGGAGGTGGACAGCAACCAGGCCTACCTCTAGGTTATCCCATCAAGGCACCAAAACTCCCAGGTGATTCTTAATCCAGAATTTAACAAATTGTTTTACGCGTCCCTGAAACATTTTTCTCTCTCTCTCCCCCTCCCTTTCTCTCTTTTTCTCTTTTTCTCTCAATTTACAAAACATTGCAAGCCAAAAGTAAAGTTTGTGGTGTGAAACAATTGTGCCTTGTAAATTATAGGTTCGGCCTAGCATAGTGGGCGACACGTGTGGACTTCAACTTCTAGAATTCCCCAGCCAGCCATAACTGATTGTGGAATTCTGAGAGCTGAAGCCCACAGTTTTAGAGTTGCAAAATTCAGAAACACTCCTAGCCGTCCACAAAAAATGTACTTTATCCTAACTGGAGCAATGGGTCTGTCTCACTAAGTACCAGCTTCCTGTGATCATGTTCTGATCAAACGGTTCTCTTTCCAGGTAGTTATTATGGTAAGCCTTATGGTGCTGGCAAGCTGAATTTCGGTGAGTCCTGTTGACATGTCTTCCATTCTATAAATCCTTTGCTCAGTGGTTGTGCAGCCTGGGGCTTGATAGAAATGGGCACAGCTTGAGACCTTAAATCAACTAAATTAACAACTGGATTCCAGATTGCACAAATCTGTCTTGGTTGTGTGCCAATTGTGCCCTTTCCTGGACCAGAAGGCCTTGCTCACAGTCACTCACATTTTGGTCACTTCCAGTTTGGATTACTGTGACATGCTCTATCCATGAAGTCCAGCCAGAAATTACAACTGGCCCAGAATGCAGCAATGCATATTGTGTTGAGTGTCCCTAGTTTCACTGATATTACTCCCCTGTGCAGGAGCTGTACTGGCTTTCAGTTTTTTTCAGGGTGCTTTTTACTTTTAAAACCCTACATGATGTGCGACCAGGTCATTTGCAGAACTGCTTCTCTCTGTGGATATGTGTCCATCCCACCAGAGTTGATACAGTGGGCACATTCCAGTTCTCTTGCTTTAAACATTGCCATCTTATGGGACCGAGGAAGTGTGCCTTTTCCATTGCAGCCTCTGCCTTAACAACTGGTCGGCCTCTAGCCTTTCAGGGAGCGTTAAAACCTGATTCTTCGCCCAGGAACAGGCATCGGAATAGGATGAGGTCAAGATAGGACAATAAATGTGGGTGCATCAGAGCATTGCTTCTGTTTTTATTATTACCATTTTTTTTTACTGTTTTACATATTGTTTTACCAGTTGTAAGCCTCCCAGATCTGGTTTTTAAAAATGGGCGGCTATATAACCGTTTTAAATAAGGAATTAATAACAGACCAGGTGAGCCAGCCATTTAAAAGGAAGGTTTGTGAAGCTTGGCACCGGGCTTCACAGTCAGCCTGAGAATGTGAGCAAGTCTTCCTTACTGATTTCTGTCATTTGGTTTGAATCTAAGTTTTAAGTCTCATGGCTTTGATTGGAATTGTGGTTTTGGATAGGAGGCCAAATTGAAAATTATTTGCAAATCTTCTGAGCCTGCTGCCTATAGAATGACAAGCATAAGAGTGGAGTGAAATTGGATCTAGTTCCATAATTAGATGTAGAACAGCCTTTCCCCATCCTGTACCTTCCAACATGATTTGGGATTGTGGTTGCAGAAGTCTTAACACATACGGAAAGCAGTGGGTTGGAGAAGCTGTATAAATATTAGGAATTAAGGGATCTCTGTCTCTCTAAAACATAACAGGGATGAGTTAAAGGAGATGTAATCCCACATATCAATACAGGTAGTCCTCGAGTTACGACCACAATTGAGCCCAAAATTTATGTTGCTAAATAAAATATTGATTAAGTGAGTTTGCCCCATTTTTCTTGCCACGGCTGTTACGTGACTCATTGCATTTGTTACATTAGTAACACCAGGGGTGGGATTCAACCGGTGTTACGACCAGTTCGGTGACTACATTTTGTGCATGCATGCGCACTGCGCGTGTGTGTAAATGACCTTAAGCTGTGCCACCCAGAGAGCTGAAAAGCGCTGCTTGCAAGTGCGCAGCGTTTGAAAAGCCTCTTTTTCCCTGCTTCTTCAGCCTCAGCTGTGCCGCGCAAAGCAGCTGAGGTTGAAAAAGCAGGAAATAAAAGACAGGTAAGAGCCCAGGTGGGTGGGTGGGCCAAACAGCAGCAAACACAGAACTGGTTCTGTGTCTGCTGCTCTTCAGAGCTACCGGCTCTATAGAGCCAGGCAAAACCGGTAGCATCCCACCCCTGAGTAACACAGTTGTTAAGTGAATCTGGATTTCCCCCTTGACTTTGCTTGTTAGAAGGTCGCAAAATTCTGATCACATGATCCCAGGACACTGCAACCGTCATAAGTATGAATCGTTTGCCAAGCAAATGAATTTTGATCAGGTGGTCATGGAGATGCTGTGTGAAAAACAACCACTACGTCACTTTTTTCAATGCCGTTGTAACTTTGAGCAGTCACCCAATGACTGCTTTGAGCAGACACCCAATGAATGGTTGTAAGTTGAGAACTACCTGTATGTGGTAGGTGTATTTAGAGCCCCAGTGAGATGTTTTCCTCCAATCTTCTTTATATTTTGTATTAGGCAAAAATATTAATATCTATTCTCATACAGAGTCTGCCTTCTCTATGTGGTTTCAGGCGGAGCAGGTGGGGCATATGCTGGAGGACTTGGAGGGAAACCTGGCTATCCAACGGGTACAGGTAAATGTCTTTGTGGTGGGTTTGGCTGAAGGTCAGACTAGAGCAGGGGTGTCCAACCTTGGTAACTTTAAGCCTGGAGGACTTCAACTCCCAGAATTCCCCAGCCAGCTTTGCTGGCTGGGGAATTCTGGGACTTGAAGTCCTCCAGGCTTAAAGTTGCCAAGGTTGGACACCCCTG